CCAAAAGTAGCTGGTTTGCCTGCTGTTCTTTGGTTACGATGCATGCTTGTGCCTCTGCCATCACTCTGGTTACTGTTTCATCTGAGGGAGTTCCGCTGTAAAATGCCAGCCTAGTCCTTACTTCCTTCTGAAACTCTGTCTCATCCATTGCTGATAGAGGTGCAGCACTGCTGGCTCGGTCTCCCTACATCAGTTTGGCAAAAAGAGTAGCTTTCGCTTTGTTGCTGGCTACCTTACCCCTTGCTTCCAAGATTTCCTTTAATGTTTTTTGAGAATGGAGTAGTTCGTCTCCATTCGTTTCCCATTTGTATGCTGCCATCCACCGAACTGTGGCTTCCTTCCACTGTGAGGTCTGTATCCCATTGCTGCCAACCAATTGTAGTGTAGCTGCAATGCTGAGACTGAATATCTCTGCTGGAATCCTCTGGAGCTGGAAAGGAAGCGCTGGTTAGTAAATATAGCCCATTCCCCCAGTAACTGGATGACACACAATTCTAGGAGTCAACTGATTTTATTTTGGCCACACATTGCTTTTATGCACAGACCCCAACATGGTGTCTCTCACACAAAAATACAGGGCTTTTCCTCCCAGGATCCTCGGTGTCTGAGAGATAATTGGGTAAGAAAAAATATAACTCAATTATCTCTCAGGTACATAAAAATCTACAATAATTTTAAAAACACCCCAAAAATGCATTTTAATACTTCAGAACCCCAGTCGTGTAGCCAAAAATAATTCCACGCTGTCAACGACCATGTACCACTACCCTGCATTTGGGAGTCAAAATGGCCACCATTTGTTTGCACACGTTCAGTTATACGAACGGCAGTCACACAGGGAAAGCACTCAAGTACTCCTTAATTGCGGTTAACAGCCAGGGGTGGTCGGAGTTCTAATTCAATAACAGGTGGGACCGGGCAACTCCAGGTACTGATGTCAGGTCCGCCACAGTGTGTATATAGTGTCTGTATAGGTAGTGTGTGTGTGTGTGTGTATAGTGTCTGTATAGGTAGTGTGTGTGTTTATACAGTGTCTGAGTATATAGTTAGTATGTGTATAGTGTCTGTATAGGTAGTGTGTGTATATAGTGTGTATGTGTATAGTGTCTGTATAGGTAGTGTTTGTGTAGTGTGTATATAGTGTCTGTATAGGTTGTGTGTATGTGTATATTATCTGTATAGGTAGTGTGTGTATGTGTATAGTGTCTGTACAGGTAGTGTGTGTGTGTTTATACAGTGTTTGTGTATATAGTGTGTGTATGTATATAGTGTCTGTATAGGTAGTGTGTGTATATAGTGTGTGTATATAGTGTCTGTATAGGTAGTTTGTGTATGTGTATAGTGTCTGTATATGTAGTGTTTGGGTAGTGTGTGTATGTATATAGTGTCTGTATAGGTAGTGTGTGTGTGTTTATACAGTGTTTGTGTATATAGTGTGTGTATGTATATAGTGTCTGTATAGGTAGTGTGTGTATATAGTGTGTGTATATAGTGTCTGTATAGGTAGTGTGTGTATATAGTGTCTGTATAGGTAGTGTGTGTATGTGTATAGTGTCTGTATATGTAGTGTTTGGGTAGTGTGTGTATGTGTATAGTGTCTGTATAGGTAGCGTGTGTATGTGTATAGTGTCTGTATATGTAGTGTTTGGGTAGTGTGTGTATGTGTATAGTGTCTGTATAGGTAGTGTGTGTATGTTTATACAGTGTCTGTTTATATAGTGTGTGTATGTGTATAGTGTCTGTATAGGTAGTGTGTGTATATAGTGTGTGTATATAGTGTCTGTATAGGTAGTGTGTGTATGTTTATACAGTGTCTGTTTATATAGTGTGTGTATGTGTATAGTGTCTGTATAGGTAGCGTGTGTATGTGTATAGTGTCTGTATATGTAGTGTTTGGGTAGTGTGTGTATGTGTATAGTGTCTGTATAGGTAGTGTGTGTATATAGTGTGTGTATATAGTGTCTGTATAGGTAGCGTGTGTATGTGTATAGTGTCTGTATATGTAGTGTTTGGGTAGTGTGTGTATGTGTATAGTGTCTGTATAGGTAGCGTGTGTATGTGTATAGTGTCTGTATATGTAGTGTTTGGGTAGTGTGTGTATGTGTATAGTGTCTGTATAGGTAGCGTGTGTATGTGTATAGTGTCTGTATATGTAGTGTTTGGGTAGTGTGTGTATGTGTATAGTGTCTGTATAGGTAGCGTGTGTATGTGTATAGTGTCTGTATAGGTAGCGTGTGTATGAGTATAGTGTCTGTATATGTAGTGTTTGGGTAGTGTGTGTATGTGTATAGTGTCTGTATAGGTAGTGTGTGTGTGTTTATACAGTGTTTGTGTATATAGTGTGTGTATGGATATATTGTCTGTATATGTAGTGTTTGGGTAGTGTGTGTATGTGTATAGTGCCTGTATAGGTAGCGTGTGTATGTGTATAGTGTCTGTATATGTAGTGTTTGGGTAGTGTGTGTATGTGTATAGTGTCTGTATAGGTAGTGTCTATGTATGGAGTGTATGTATTTATACTTACTGTCATTTTCTTTTTAAGGCTTTATCATCTTTAGAATCTTTACTGGGTTAGGCTCCTCCCATTTGGTTGTTTAGGGCACAAAATTTAAATAATAAAAGGGGCATCTACTACCTTTATCCACCAACTTGCTTGAGAAGGACATCTGGGAGTGAAATGTGATGCCACCATGGACATATCCATGAAAAAAAAAATGATGGTAAGTATAAATACATTTTCTGTATTGGCCACGGACAATACATACATACATAAAACTACAACAGCACAAAACACACTGGAAGATGTAAATATTCACTAGAAACTGTAGAATGAAGGGCGTTGTCAGGGTATTTCCACTGGCAGACATTTTGTGTTAAGATAGAAATTAAAAATATATACTGTAAGTCACTATTAGGCAGAGGTGACACCATTTTTGTAACAAAAATGCAAGGACAGACACATTTTATTTCTGTAACTCTATTCCTTAGCAAGGGGCCACACAGAGAGGGGGTTCGGTAAACGAACGGGGGTGTACAGGCAGCCGAACAAAAGGTCCTCTATTCTGCAACACTAGGATTGCTGCCTCTCATCTTGCTGAAGGTCCTCTGACTGCTCCCGACAGTATATGTTTAGTGATGTCGCGAACCCGAAATTTTCGGTTCGCGAACGGCGAACGCGAACTTCCGCAAATGTTCGCGAACCGGCGAACCGCCCGAAACGCCATTGACTTCAATGGGGAGGCGAATTTTAAAACACACAGGGACTCTTTCTGGCCACAATAGGGATGGAAAAGTTGTTTCAAGGGACTAACACCTGGACTGTGGCATGCCGGAGGGGGATCCATGGCAAAACTCCCATGGAAAATTACACAGTTGATACAGAGTCTGGTTTTAATCCATAAAGGGCAGAAATCACCTAACATTCCTAAATCACAATCAATATGGATTGACACCTGACATATGACATATTGACACCTTGACATATGGATTGACACCTGTCCTCAGAGCCCCTGATGCACACGGACACAGAGCAGAATAGAGACTGGTCCCCCTACATAGGGTCACTTGGCAGATATGGATTGACACCTGTCCTAAGGATCCCTGATACACACTGACACAGAGCAGAATAGGGACTGTTCCCCCTACATCGGGTCACTTGGCAGATATGGATTGACACCTGTCCTAAGGTTCCCTGGTACACACTGACACAGAGCAGAATAGGGACTGGTCCCCCTACATCGGGTCACTTGGCAGATATGGATTGACACCTTTGTTACAAACTGCTATTTGTAACGGGCCCTTTAAATGGCAAATTGCCCTGCTTCCCTGGGTTGTGGAGAAGCCTATTTGCCAGCCTCCTCCCGCATGACTATGGCCCCTGGGAGATTGTGAAAACTTATGGAATTTTATTGGGTGTGTATGGCCCTTTAAGACTGTCGGTGGGCATATTGGGGCTTAGGGACTCTTTATGGGACTGGTGCTGGCCCTTTAAACACCTTTTTGGGACATCAGGAAGATTGGGACACTGCCCCTTTAAGACGGTGTCCCCAGACTTGTTTGGGACACTGCCCCTTTAAGATGGTGTCCCCTGTGTCCCCAGACCTGCGTTTTAAACCAACACACTATTACCTACCTTGCTATTTACTTGGTTCAGTAAATGGGAAATTATTTCAGCTACAGAGACCAAAAGTCCCATTCGTGATGGGACTTAGAGTCTTTTCTATCATTTTCAGCCTTATTTCAGCTGCAGAGACTAAGTCCCATTGGCGATGGGACTTACATTTTCAAACCTGAGAGCGGGCGAGCCTCAGCCGATCATGGAACTGTTTTGGGCAGGAAAATGTGCTAGGTGGGTCATAAAGGGACCCTCCAGCTAGCACTTTAACCCCTTGATTGATTTTGCTTATTTTTTGTTATGTTTATGTTTTAAGTGTGCTGATTCCAAATATGTAATTATGAAGATGGGATGTGTAGTTTTAAAGTTACAGGGTATGGCTAAAAACTGTATTTTTACTGCCTGTGTTTAATTATGTTAATCTCTTCCCAAACGTCATTTCGTTCAAAGTGGAGAGAATGTTAAAAAAATATATTTTGTTCTGAGTGTGAGAAATGCTTTTCAGCCGCTTCTAATCTTAAGCATCATTTGAGGAGCCATACAGGAGAGAAACCTTATTTGTGGTGTGTTTAGTATTGTTCTGATCAGTTTAATACTTTCCGCGTCTCCTATCAGTGGACGTGTATATGGCAGCCATTTTAGGAACCGTACACCTGGGACCCGAGCAAGGTCACCTCGTTCAA